CACCCACAACTGAAGCACCCACAACTGAAGCACCCACAACTGCTGCACCCACAACTGAAGCACCCACAACTGCTGCACCCACAACTGTTGCACCCACAACTGCTGCACCCACAACTGAAGCACCCACAACTGCTGCACCCACAACTGCTGCACCCACAACTGCTGCACCCACAACTGCTGCACCCACAACTGCTGCACCCACAACTGCTGCACCCACAACTGCTGCACCCACAACTTCTGCACCCACAACTTCTGCACCCACAACTGCTGCACCCACAACTGCTTCACCTACAACTGTTGCACCCACAACTGCTGCACCCACAACTGTTGCACCCACAACTGCTGCACCCACAACTGCTGCACCCACAACTGCTGCACCCACAACTGCTGCACCCACAACTGCTTCACCTACAACTGAAGCACCCACAACTGCTGCACCCACAACTGAAGGACCAACAACTGCTGCACCCACAACTGCTGCACCCACAACTGAAGCACCAACAACTGCTCTACCCACAACTGTTGCACCCACAACTGTTGCACCCACAACTGTTGCACCCACAACTGTTGCACCTACAACTGTTGCACCCACAACTGAAGCACCCACGACTGCTGCACCCACAACTGCTGCACCCACAACTGCTGCACCCACAACTGAAGCACCAACAACTGTTGCACCCACAACTGTTGCACCCACAACTGTTGCACCTACAACTGTTGCACCTACAACTGTTGCACCCACAACTGTTGCACCTACAACTGTTGCACCCACAACTGCTTCACCTACAACTGAAGCACCCACAACTGCTGCACCCACAACTGTTGCACCCACAACTGCTGCACCCACAACTGAAGCACCCACAACTGCTGCACCCACAACTGCTGCACCCACAACTGAAGCACCAACAACTGTTGCACCCACAACTGCTGCACCTACAACTGCTGCACCCACAACTGCTGCACCTACAACTGCTGCACCCACAACTGCTGCACCCACGACTGCTTCACCTACAACTGCTGCACCCACAACTGCAGCACCCACGACTGCTTCACCTACAACTGCTGCACCCACAACTGCAGCACCTACAACTGCTGCACCCACAACTGCAGCACCTACAACTGCTGCACCCACAACTGCAGCACCTACAACTGCTGCACCCACGACTGAAGCACCCACGACTGCTTCACCTACAACTGCAGCACCTACAACTGCTGCACCCACGACTGCTTCACCTACAACTGCAGCACCTACAACTGCTGCACCCACAACTGCAGCACCTACAACTGCAGCACCCACGACTGAAGCACCCACAACTGCTGCTAGTCCAACATTCGTCGTGACAGCAGCCTTGTCTGGAGAAACATTTATTGATGCGTATAATAACAACACAAGCCCTGAATACAAACTACTAGAAACAAAACTTATATCAACGGTGAGTTTTTTTTTTTTATATTACCGAGATTTGAATTTATCTGAATTTATATCTTAAGAATATTGTGACAAAAGTTACTAAAAGTCTTTCAATGTCTTTTTTTGCAGTGTTCTAAGATATACAAACCCAGATTTCCAAACAGATTTTCCCATTGCAAGGTGAAAAAGCTCAGGTAAAGCATTTTTATCTAAGAATTATTCTTTTTCTTTACGGATTTGGATCTCAAAATGAGAAATTCTTCAGTGTTGATAGTGACACATGTAAATCAGACGACACAAGGCAACAGACAGAGTCTTTCATATCATAATTGTTCTCCTTTTTGTTTGATGTTATAAAATAGGCCTGTAGAAGTAAAGGCGACCGAAACTGAGGCAGATCTGGCAGTTGTGTTCGACAGCACTACTGCCACTGCAGATCTCCCACAGAATAGTGAAGTGACTCAAGTCTTAGTCGAAGCTGTGACTAATACCAGCAACAACTTCGACGTGAGCATAACTCCTGCCTCAGTCACAATTATATGTAAGTATACACAACACAATGTTTCTCTCCAATAAGTTTCAAACATTTGCTGCACATGCTTGATTTTTAAATAATTTACTAACAAAATAATGTCGCTACACAATAAACGTATGTCAAGACAAAATTAATTAACACAACTTTAATGATTTTCAGTTTAATTGTTATGTAAATAAATTGTTATTCAATGTAAAAATACTTTTTCGTAAGAAACTTCAGAACAAATATAATTTGTAAGCCCTTCATTATTTATCTTATTTCTGTGAAACTGGCACATAAATCCTCTTGGTTTGGGCACTGATACATATTAACATAATATGTATATGTCTGTTATTACAGCAAGTCCATTCCTAGATACAACTGTTGCACCCACAACTGCAGCACCTACAACTGCAGCACCCACAACTGCAGCACCCACAACTGCAGCACCTACAACGGCTCGACCTGCGACTGCAGCACCTACAACGGCTCGACCTGCGACTGCAGCACCTACTACTATAGCCCTTATAACAAAAAGGGTGACTTTCAGATCTGTTCAAGACACATTTACCAATGAATTGCTGAATCCATCTTCTGCTGCTTATAAAGCTCGGGCGACAATGATAAATACTCAGGTACGTTTTTTTAGTCCACCCACTCAAAACATGTGAATTCTAGGCCTACTCCACAGTTACCACACTATGATTAGGAATTATTAATTGATGAAAACCAATTCACCAATAAAGATAAAGTCAAATAAATGAGTCAAGCTCTAAATCCAATACAAAGGTTTTGTGAAAAAATATATGTTTTTGTTTTGTGTTTCTACAGCTTACACCTGTTTTCAAAAGGGAATTCCCTTCGTCCTTCAAATCCCTAGATGTTGTTTCATTCAGGTAATTTTTTAAGACCATTAAAGTTTTATAATAAAGAGTAGGATCCTATATCTGATATTTCAAACAATATTTGTTTTCTCTTTCTGCAGTAACGGATCAATCATCACCATCATTGATCTCTCATTTGAAAGCACATCTGCTCCTACTAGCACTCAGATTGCGAACGCTTTGATCAACGCAGCTTCAACAGTCCTTGGATTCGACATTGAAGGCAGCTCCATTGGCGTAAATGGCATATGTAAGTAAATACTGAGTGCTACTTAATACAACAATTACATTTTGTTTAAATTTAAATTAATGTTTGGTTTACTTTTTTCCTCATTTACAGCTTCCAGTGGAGTAAGACACAAGATCAGTCTTGTCACCGCACCCTGCCTATTACTGCTTTCATGGCTACTGTTAAACCAGCAATAGCATTAGGGCTGTTTTTACACAGTAATCACAACATGACTGCCAATGCTGGTATGAAAAAGGATTTATTTTTGTTGTTAAAAATCCCAGATTTTTTGAGTGGAAGTCTTCCACAGCTTCTGATGAACTTGCTTTTAGAATTAACTTTGCATTGACCGGACCAATGAAGGACAGTGGAATATTTATTTTATTTTCGTATTAAGGATTAAACTTTAAGCACCTAGTCCATTAAGTGATACATCGTAACACTATGGCCACTATATGGCACTTTTACAATATATGCCAAAATATATCCTTTCACAAACACACCATACACTGATGGCTGCTACACAAAGTCCCAAACTCATATGAATGACTGAAATGCTCATTCCCACACACACACACACACACACACACACACACACACACACACACACACACACACACACACACACACACACACACACACACACACACACACACCAGATGGCTGTGCCTTGGTGTTCAGTATCTTGCCAAAAAACAATGCACTGTCATTTATTTTTATTTATAGAGAGTGTTTATGTTATCATCCGTGGACATATTCTTTGAGATGTCTTTGTACAATTGCTGTCACAAACTTTACAATGATCAGAATACAAAATATTTAAAGAAACAAAATGGTCTCTTGTGTGATGTTTTGCAATTTTGGAAAGTGTATCAGACAATCTCAGTCTTTTTTAGGAAAGTTAATCATAAAATAACAGTTTTATATTTATAGTTGGTATGTTGTAATAATCTTTGTTGTAAGACTTGAGGCTACCATAGTAATACTAATGTTTACTGAAATCTTATTAGGAAGGACAACATGTTCCGTTATTAAATTCACAAAGAATCCAACCAACTAGCCACTTCTTTTATCATAGGGGCAACACATATCAGTCTTACTGCATTCAAATTGTTACTCAAGTACAAGAACAAAAGTATTAGCATCAAAATATACTTAAAGTAACAAAAGTAAAAGTACTCATTGTGCAGATCGGCCCCTTTCATGTATATGATATGTTTTGATTATAATGATTGATGCATTAAGTGTTATCAAAGCTGGTAAAGATGCCGTTTTAATGAGTTTGTATACTGCAGGATAGCTTGTGAATTTACTCCATGGTGTAACTAAAGTCTGATTTAAGTGTTGATTATATTTCAGATCATTAATCCAAATCTGCAAAGTAAGGTATTAAATAAATGTAATGGAGTAAAAGCACAAAGTAGCATACAATGGAAATAGTCAAGTAAAATACAAGTATCTCAAAATTGTACATAAGTACAGTGCTTGAGTAAATGTACTTAGTTACTTCCTACCTCTGTGAGTACTACATCTCAAAGTCTGTGTTAACTATCCAATGCAACTGTTCCTTTCACTGACAATACAGCCTTTAGAAGAAAAAAACATGGGAAAAATAGAAACTCATATCCCACGTGGCAAAGGTGTCATGTCACAGATTGTGTGACAGAATATTTTATTTTGTATTTGATATATATCAATCCATTAGTCGACCGAAAAATAATCTCTTCTTGCTGCCCTGTGGTGAGCAGCTTTTATAACAACTGAGGTCGACATCAACTAGGCTATTCATTTTGAGCATTCAGTCAATATTATATTCTAATAGTGTTGCTCTTCTTAGTTATTACTGATCAAACGGTCTTGTGTTTCACTGCTCTCTCTGTAACGTCGATGCACACCAGCGTCCTGAGAGAGAGATGGTTATTTTTATATCTGCTGATCAGCCGAACCGGAAGAGGAAAACGCATGGATTAGTGTTTACAACTCATATCGTCCTAGGTGAACCCGGCATCACCCTGCCGTCCAAAATAGACCCATGCAATTTGAATATTTTTGACTGATCCTGCATAGGAAATCTTATAATACAGGCCCTTTTTGACTTTCTTTGATGAGGACTAAGGGGTTGTTATTGCGGGCTAGCTGCTGATATCTGTCGCAGCGTCGGGCCACCCACCATCTGTGGAAGTGGGACAAGGGAACAGATGGCACATTCAAGGCTACTGACGCTGACCATTATTTATAGGAAAGCATTGGATATGAGTATCACTCGATAAAATAAAGGGCTGTCGTTAACATACAGTGGCCTGTGTTTTGCAATGCCACAGTGATTTGGATCAGAGTGTTTGCATTGGCTACATTGATGCGCGACGGCTTGACCACTGGAACTTAATCCCCCTTTTGACGTGTCTGCGCCTCGGTGAACAATGGTTGACAACCGCTACGCAACGGCTCTGGTCATCGCCTGTGTGCTGAGCATACTGGCCACCGTGTATCTGTCAGTGGCCATCGGGACAAAGCACTGGTACCAGTACAGCAGCCCCACGGTGCGCGGAGAGGCTAACGTGTCCGATCTACGCTCCCTGTATGAGGAGTTCATGGATGGGGAGTTTGACGAGAAAACCTACAGCGACACCCTGTTCCGCCTCAACGGGACTGTGGGCCTCTGGTGGCGGTGTGTGATCGTCTCTGCTCACTGGAACAAGGAGCAAGGTATGTCCTCATCTCTCAAGTCAGATGAGTCGTTCTGGTAGACAGTATCTCTGTGAAGTTTCACAAACAAAGATGCTCTTTGACCTGAAGCATCGCCTTGTTTCAGGTAGATGCAACTTGTGTTGCTCATTCCCAAACAGGTCGGAGCTGTATCACATTTGGAATGTTGATTACATAAGTAACGTTGTGTAGCCTACCATCACCTTGTGTCACATAATTAAGCTTTAGATGAAATACAAATTGTCTGTCTTTGAGAAATCTTTGAAGGTTTTGGGGAGTTTATTTCTATTAGGGTATTCTCTTTTTATGGTTTTCATGTTGATACCGATAGGCTACCCAGACAGGTTTGTGACAGCCTACAGAACAAAACATAAAGAAGTTACTTAATTAAAGTTGCTAAATTAAATTAATGAAATATGTCCTCATCTATTTGACAAAATCTTCCCAATTTTCAAATGTTCCCTTGCTCCCTTAACAACATTACTAAAGTCGGGACCTCAGAAGCTTTCTAGCTAACAATGTTGAATGGAAGAAGTCTTCACACTTCCTGGTTCCACTGTCACAAATTGTAAATCAAACTGGATTACATTTCTTTTTGAAAGCCAGTGAAAAAGAAAGAAACCCCTGAATAATCATAGTCATGAGCGGTTCTAAGGGGGGGGCAACAGGGGCCAGTGCCCCTGTAACACCCAGCTTGAACTTCTCTGTGGCTTCCCTCCAAAAAGATACATATATGATAACGCAATGTATTTATTTTATGTAAGTGGTCCAGCAAAAACTGGGCTGTTACCTGGGCCAAAGTTAACCGGGATGGGGTTTCTTTCAGTAATGTAATTTAATAACTTTAAACTAAGTTACTGAAACAAGTTTGTGACTAATACAATACCAAGAAACATTAAGAAATACAATAAAAACACATTTTGGCTTTATAAATAAGGAATGTATTACCCCAAACACCTTTCAATGTTCTGTATCTTGGGCAAAAGTAACAAAAAAAGGATAACTCAACTAAAATTGAATCTAAGTCATTGATTTACATTTGAACAGAACCGCCACTGATCATAATTTATCATATAGCAAGATGGATTAGGCAATGGTTCCTTATATTTGGAATATTTAATAATAAAGGCGAAGATTTGGTGTAGTCTGGAAGAATGAAAGTGAACTCTGTGTATGACCCTCGAATTGTATCAAATAATGTCTTGCATTGATCTAATTACCACAGATATTCTCAATACAGGCCTCCCACATCTCGTATGTGATTTGAGTATACTTGGAGTTTCGGTAAAACAGCTCTGTGTATGTTGTAATCCACCCAGATGCTGTCAGATCTGAATGTTTAGGACTTTATGACTATACATTCTTGCTGTTTGCGTCAAAACCTCTTTCAGATGCCAAGATGATGCTGGAGTGTCGAAGCTTCAGCCTACCTCAGCAGTTCACTCCCAAGTATAAAGAACCAGGCAACCACAACAGTGGAGAGGACATGCTGCGCACCTGTGAGTTCAGTCTTAGCATGTTCATTCATCTAAATGTGTAGGTCGCCTGAAGCTGTAAAAACTAGAATCACATTCATTCTCGAGTAGTGCGTTTATTCGGACCCATTGGGCATGTTTAATAATACAGTGTCTCCAATCAGGGCTGTTTTTTCTAGAAGCTGAGTGAATTATGACTCATATATTTTTGTGTCTATGTGTAGATTTGTGGAGATGCCAGTTTCTGCTGCCACTGGTGTCCTTGGGTCTGGTGGTGTTGGCGGGCCTGACTGGGTTCTGTGCCTGCCTCTGCCGAAGCCTCAGCCCCATCCTTGGCATAGGAGTACTTCACCTGCTGGCTGGTAATACCCATTCAAAGATACCAAACCACTCATTAGTAAATGTTAGCTTTTACCGTATGAATCACCCAATTGGTTAATGTGTGCGGAACTACATCTGGAATTTGAGAGTTGCTATTATGTGACTGTAATTTGAGATTGAACTGATGTCCAATATTTTGGTTTTGAGGAGTCACAGAGGCCCCAGTTTAAATCCTAGTCTCTTCCGAAAAAAGATTGGCTCAAAACTGATTTGGTTTGAGTCTAACTAACCAGTAACATACAGTAAAACAAAACAAAAGCAATCATTTTATATTCCTGAAGGTTTTTTAAGGTATAGAGTAAACGGAAATAAGCGTTTACAGCCATGATAGCTTGACTATGAGGATATGATTGTAAATGTCAGGATGCTTTAAATAGGAATGATTATGTTGTGATAGTGGCAGATGCTTTGATTATCAGCTATACAGAGAATTGTTGTGTTCTTCAGCTCACTGTTTTAATTTTATTGCAAAAAGACGACATTAAAAACAACACATTTTGCGCCCTGCAGGGCTCTGCACTTTAGCCACGGTGTGCTGCTACCTGGCGGGGATGGACCTGCTTCACAAGGTTTCGATGCTGCCTGATAAGGTGGATGGCTCCTTGGGCTGGTCCCTCTACTTGGCCCTCATTTCCTCACCGCTCCACATGATGGCCGCTGCGTTGCTGTTGTGGGCGGCACGTAGCCACAGTCAGAATTACTACCGCATGACCGCCTACCGGGTGGCATAGACTGACATTCATCTCAGTCCCTCTGCAAAGTTGAAATTCATACCCCTCTCTGTCACCAAGATGCATTTTATATCGATCTCACGGGAAAAGGATGTGGGTTAATCTGTACATGTTCTGTGGGATTAGAGTGCATGTCATTTATAGAAATTCCCCTATCTGCTGCATTAAAAGATTTGATCACTCTATGGGAATTAGTTTGAAAAAGGTCAACCAGAAAGAGTTACATATATTTGCTTCAATTGGAAAAGGGAAAAACAGTTTTGGATATTAATTCCACCAATAAATTGTTGATATTGAGTACGCAGCTACATCACTTAAAAATAAGATGAACACGACAGGAAACAAATCCTCAAATTAGCCAGATTTATGTTAATAATCAAGCGATAAAAGTATGACTGAAACAGATTCAACTCTCCCTTTGTAATTATTTGACCGACGCATGCACATTTCATATTTGCTAATGTTCACAGCTAGTTTCTTGCCCTGTCAGGTTAGATTAAAGGGGTGTTGCTGTGTCCCATTGTTCCAAATACATCACATATTTATTAAATTATTAAGCGTATATTAGACCAGATCCTACTGGAATCGCAACATCAGCTATTTAAAATGAGTTTTGGAGATTTAATCCAACAAAAACAAGCATTTTAAAACACAACTCTTTAGCAGGATGGTCTCAGATGTATTTGATACTATAAAGAATATGACATACAATAGTACATCATGTATAGTATATTAGGTTTGTGTTGGGGATTTGGGACACAATGTTCTGGATGTGACTTTCAAGTCTTTACATCTCTGGTCACACCCAGAGTCAGGAGGGTATGGTTGGAATTTCCCTTTTGTTGTACAGCAGGTGTACTGCTCCCACCCTGAGCTGGTTCCTCTAGCACTGCAGCAAGACACTCATCCATAAGATATGTTATTATGACTATTCTGCGGTTGTGCAATCAGTTTCTTACTTTTCCTGCTTCAAAACATAGTTGGCATCTATGAAGAGTACAGTAAGAGAGGCTATTATGTATATATGGTTCGAAATATACGAAAATAAATAAATCCCTTCTTTTTAAGTGACATTTATTTATTAATGGCAATTCAGACTGTGTTTGTGTTTATAATTTGTTACCTCAATGAATTGTTTTCTTTGCTGTGTTTTTTTAAATCATTTTTTGACTGATTTTGTAGTTTTTTGTAGAAAAAATCTAAAAGGTGTATGGTTTTGAACATAGTAGTGGTTTCCAACTATTAAGTGTTTGTTTTGTTGCTTTTACATGCTCATATATATTGATTTCCCTTGTGAATTCAGCTGTATTTGTTATTATTTATTTCAATTATATTTGTTCCTTCTATTTCTAATGTGTTACTACCATTTCAATTCAACAGGATTTAAGGGAACCAGTTAGTTCCCTGTTAGGCATTATGAATGTACTTAAAGGCCATATTGTGATCATCTAAAGTATTCCTTTGCACTTAAATTATTCTTGAACATATCCTGAAAGTTGCTGTAGTCGTAAGTAGTGAATTTCTATTTTTTGAAGCGTCCTACAAATAAAACAAGTTTAGAAAAAGATATTACCTGGAAAACTATGCTAAATGTTTGCAGATATATAAGTTACCACAAGCTTCACGCTTTCAGAAAAGTCTGTGGAATGATGCACTGTGTGTGGTATGGTGGATATTGTGATAAACCAGATTGTATTTTGCATTTTCAGCCTTTTAATTGAAGATATTGAATACTGAATCCACTGTAGCATTAATATATCAGCAATTGTCCATGTATGACTGTGCTTTTGTGAAAAGTGAATGTGTTGTCCTCTCACCAGTTTTTGAGCTCAAACGGTTAATAACTGTTCACTTAAATATCATGTGTGAGTGTAAACGAGTGTTCACATGCGTGTTCCAAGCAACGTTTCAATAAAAGATTTTGTAAAAGATTTTTTATGTCACATCATTCTCATCATGGCGCTTGATTTAAAAAGTCCATCCTCATTCCTCTTCCTCTGAAGTGAATTCCTGTACGTACGATTCCTGCTCCTGCTCTGTCTGCACCCGGATAGAGGGAATCATCACGCGCCTTTTTCTCGCCAGGGAGAGAGCGATGCCCTTCTCGTAATAAGCACATTCATTGATGAAGAAAGGGTAAAGAGGTTCTTTGCCTTTATACGGCAGAGTTTCTCCTGAGAAAGTCTGGAACAGTGGGTCTCCAGGGTGGAGCAGGCAGAAGTCTCGGTCCTGTGGGGAGGAAAAGCAAATTAGGGTGAAAGCTAATGAGCAAAACCTGGGAGATGAAACATTTCCAGGGCAATGTGCACTACTTTGTGAGGATTTAAAGCCGTAAACAATGTGTTAAAGCTATAGGTCCAAGCAAACTGGATAATGAAGTTCTTGACGCAGAGGAAAGAAAGGATAAATGATTAAAAGGACTTTGAAGAAGAGGATTTTGTAGGATAACTGTAGACTAAATATAGCCAGCAGACAATAAGTAGTTTCTTTATTTTATTTTTTCAGACATATCTTCTGAAGTGAATTGAAAACAAAAAAATGTTTCTTAAAAAGTTGGACAGACTCCATATTCTGTCAACACCATTCCTTCCATGACGCCAGATTGTCGGAACGATTTGAAAACACAATCAGGGTTACCTGTTTGTTAGTAATGCCCTCCCTGGTTGTTTGACCTAATTACAAAAAATGAAATGATCTGTAGTGACAAACCTCACTGACTCACTGGAAATCTGCCTAACACCTGACAACAGAAAGGCTTTTATTCATGCCAGTCACAGATGACGACAAAGCATTTTTATCTGGCACTATTATACTTGTATCTTAATCCACCAATTGCTATTTTCTATAGTTTCGATCAAATAAAATGTGATCGACCTTTCACAGACGCGACTTTTTCCATCCTCACATCTTATTCATACTGTCAGTTTCAGTTTCTATCTGAAGATAAATCACACATACATTTTCACATACAAACATGGATCAGCCGTCTTTATATAGGAATGATTGGCAGTTGTTGTAATGTTGTATTCAATATCCTCACTTTCAATAATACGTTGTACCATCAGTTTGACATTTAAAGGTTTGACAAAAGGGTTACATTTTAATTAATGGGTGCACTGTTTCCCATAAAGTTGGAATCATTTAGTTTTCAGACACATTCCTCTTTCTATTCCTGTTTCATTTTCACTGTGATATGTTTGGAAGAGATTGATCAATAAAGTTTTGAGACCATATAAACCAATAAATCACTTTGTCACATTCATTTCAGGAGAAGAGGTAAACACGTATTCTATTCTTACTTTATGGGCAACAGTGTATATAATTGTTATCATTTTTTTAACTCAGTTAACATTACTTGTTCAAAAATCTTGATGTTGACTGTTATACGTGCCTGATGTGCGCTGGCTAAGAGACTTTCTAGGTTACGTCGGCAAATCATAACTATAAACTATTTAACAATTCAAATTATAACAAGGTGTTGCTGTGAAAAGAAAAATATTTGATGAGCCGTCCTTCAAACTTCCCCAGTTGAGTTCCTGCTTAAAAACTATTATGCTTACTGGCAACGTGCTTGAGTCATGCTTTTATAATCAACTATAATATTATTGAACAATGATGTCTGGGAATCATCAGCTTTGAGTAAATATTAGCTTTTGTAAAAAATAACTAACATAATCCAATTGCCAGCTGCTAATGTAAATAAATTTGCACTGGTATGTTTCGAGCATCATGCGGTTTCATGATTGCTCTTTGGTATGAAGCCATTTTACAGGAAGGACTACACCCTGTCGGAAACAATAGTCCTGTAATTGGCTTCATATTGTATACAATGCCAAGGCCACCTTACCCACAGACACAATTAATTATCCAGCTCAGGACAAAAGGCCTTTCTTCTGTGCTGGTCATGCATTAACTGTCCTGTATTTAAGTGTTAGGCTAATTTTGTAATCTTTTGTTATTGTATCCACTCCCTGGTCTACTTGGTTATACAAGATTTGGTTATACAAGATTAGGCTATACTTAAATCGGACAAAGGGCAACTGCTTTTATTAATGCTTCAAGCTCAAAATAAGTCCGTACCTGGAGTTGAGGATGAATGGCTGCCGTGATGGTGCGCGTTTCCCTGTCTCTTGGGTAGTCGATGTGTTTAACCATGGAAAACACCTCCACAAATCCTCCTTCAAATATAGTACCTGAAAAGAAACACATTTGGGGGTTTAGAACAAAACCAAAAGGGGCTTCAAAAATGTCAATGTTTTCAAGACTTCACCTGAGTTGAAGAAGCGGACCCAATCTAGCATGTTCTGTACGCCAACTCTCATCGCCGTATAAACGTTTGACCTCACAACCCCGTGGGGCTGGGGGCCGATCTCCATGGCTGCAGAAAATGGATTCAAGATGAGAAAATGATCCAGCATTCAAACTATTGTTATTGGAAAAATTATACACTTACCAAAGCCATGTTTTCCCACTGAATCAAGGGAATAGGACTCTTTACTGGAGACATCGAAATGGATGAACCTTATTGGTACATCTGGCATCTCCCTCTAAAAGATGACATATTTCACTTGTCAGTCGAAAACAAATCTCAGTTCTTGGTTCTATCTTTTAGTTTTAGTTGTTTGTATTTGAGTGTGTAGGAGCTGCTTGCCTGCAGGTGTTTGAATATGTGCAGGCAGATCCAGTCGCAGTCGGAGTATGCAATGAGGCACAGGCCCATGTTGGCGGTGGTGTTGTGGAGGTCGCAAACAAGATCCACCGCCGCAGGACTCCCTTTGGGACCCAGCATGCGGTTCAGTTCTAGGGCTCTGGTAATCTCGTAGGGTGCAACGTCTGACACTGGACCGCTGGGAGACAGAGAAACAATCAGATCACGCCTTATCACCACAACTGTTGGAGCATCAACACCCCCACCCATCACTTTACTTGAGGGTGGCGCGGGTGAAGCAGCGGTTGAGGTCGGTGTCGACGTATCTGCGGCACTGCAACATGGCCCTCGGGTTGGACAGCACCATCAGCACCGATACACGCTCATCCTCCTCCTCCTCCTCCTTCGTCACTTTCTTCTCCATCTTCAGCAGCTCTCTCACTAAGTACACCCCGGACAGCTCGTTGCCATGGGTACCGCCGCACACAGCGACCCGGGGCAACCTTGGCAAACACTCCAGCTCGTCCACCTCCATCTGAGTGACACATTAGAGATACAGTACTGGCGGCACATGCACAAATTGTGATTTCTCCGTTTATACACCATGTGAAAAGCCAATACATGTAACCTGGTTTCACTCAGTGGGAGGCACATCCAGCGTTAATGTCACTTGGTACATTGTAGACAACTTTAACACAAAGCAGAGATATTGATTTGTGGAACCTTACCTCGCTTGCTGGAAACTGTACAGATGCAGTTCCTCAACCCTAGAAATGTACTCTAAAAGCAGCACTGAGATTAAAAGTCTCTTTAAAATCTCTTAACTTGAGGTCAGCTCCACAATCACCAATAAGAGAGGAAATGAATGACGCGGCACCGTACTGTTCATCTTACCCAAACCACCCCTCTCCCCCTGCTGTTTACCCTCTTCCCACCTCTCCCAAGCTTTCATGCAGTTTCACTGATTCAGCATTCTCATCTCTCTCCCCTGTACAGGCTGCCTGTTATGGAAACTCTCACCGTCTCTCTACCACCTCCTGTCCACTGCACTGCACTGTATTACACTGTGTCCTATAGGGTGTGTCCTGAGTGTGATGCAGTGCAATGGTTGCTTCCTTTGGTCCCAACAGCTGTGAAACCCCTCCCCGGCTCCCCATTTATCTCTGCCTCATGTATAGGATGGTAGGTTCCAGTCTGCCTTTCAAAAATAAAATTGGCTAAAAACAAATCTGCTGGCATGACACAGCAGGAGAGGCGCTTGTGGTGTGGGACAGAGAAAGAAATGGCTCTTTTCGCAGGGATAATAACAAGAGAACCAGCTAGTGATTTAACACAGATTTCATCTTAAACTTTATATACAAGGAGGTTGACTTCAGGAGAAAAAGTTGGTTTAATCTTTTTTTAACACCCAATCTTCACAATGGAAATAGATTCACTCTCTTTTTGGCCTTTTAAATACATCATCTCTGTTTTTTAGTACTTTGATTGGAAGTTGTTATGGCTTTGTTCCCAGGATCATCATCATATCTCTAAAATACATATAACAACCAATCAAATTCATCTTTAACTTTTTTGTGAGTTTTGTCCATTTAAGTACACTCAAATCAAACTGACCAACAACAACCTACCGTACAAGTGTAAAAAAACAACAATTGCACTGATGGATAGTGAAGAACATCTGCCATCCAAACCAGTTCAACTGAAGCAAATTCAATTGCGGGACCACAGACTGAAATGATTCGCTAAGTTATTAATGAAAAAAGGCATTCTTTAGGTTCCATCGTCTTCATTTTAAACTCAACTATTATAAATACATAATCAAATGGTCAGTTATTTGCTTACATGTGACACATTGTGCACATACATAACAAAATAGGCTGAAACAACGTGTTTTCATTTGGGTTTTTATTGTTTTATTGACAACATTATGTCATCCCATCTGGAGCACCTGCTAAACATGAGGGCAGAAATTCCCCAATAATTGATTTGGCAATAATTGTGTTACTTAGTTAATGTAAATGTAACAAATGGTATTAAAGAACAGAATGAAAAGCTTCTTTTTTTAGACATCACAGCATTTGATATTACAGATTATTTTTCTTTAACACAAAATACTGAGCAATGTCTTCCCTCTCAGTCAAGTATGGAAACTCCCTTTTTTTCTGAAAACGAAGACAGTCCTCTTACAATATTATGAGGAACTGAATAAAAACAAGAAAAAAAAACCTACCTTACAGTTATCAATACTATATGAATTTCTATACATTTATAAATCATAGTTATTTGCAATGCTTTTAAATTCTTTGTTTCTTTATTCTTCATTTTTAAGTACACTTACAAACGAAATTATGAAATCCACACACACACGCTCGCTCACATTATACCCCATGTTTTTGGTGTCAAAATGTACTTTGCATATGTATGAACTCTTCAGCAGATTAACAGCGGTTTCTTTTAACCACTGCATTGACTCATAATTGTTTTTTCTCATTTTGTTGTGTTCCTCTTAACACAAAAGCACACTACGTATCCCAAAAACATGTTTACTGCCGTACACTTGGATCATTTCGTTGGAAAAAAACTGCACTAATGACATTTTTTCACCACTGAAACAAGCGATTTTGCAGCTCTATAGTCTTTTCACGACTACTTCTTCAACGTTTTAAATGTTTGGATGAGAAACCAGCAACAAATGTCAGCATCATGATCACTCAGGTGTGACGTGAGAGCAGGTCGCTCGTATCTAAGGCGAAGAGAAAGGGTGTTTTGGCCTTCAAAGTTGTCACCATCATCTTCATGAGGCCTTTGTGAATGAGAAAGTATCTCTTCTAACTATAATACACACAGTGCGGAGGTTCAACCGGTATTTCGGACAATCATTCCTTCTTTTGAACAGCATTCTGCGCAGTGGCAGTGTTAATAGTAAAGTGATGGAAGAGCAGATATGCAGTCACACACGCACGCACACACACACACGCACGCACACAAGAACCTTCACTTAGTTACATTAAGACACTAAATCAGAGAGAGAAACAAGAGATCCTCGCTAACGTGTTGAAGGCCACCAGTCGACAAATTATTTGAATCATATATAAATGTATATATTAACCAGGTCTGACCCCCCTTTTTTTTTTAAGAGTTATTACCAAAGCACACAATGCTTTTGAATGGGAACACTACATTATCTCACAGGGTGTGATCAGCACGAAAACCCTCTTCTGCTCCTGATCTGAGAGAGACTTGAGCAGAGACTTAAAAAAAGAATCTAATAAGGATTTGGAAGCACTGCCGCCCCCCCCCCCCCCTTTATGCTGAGCAGCACAAATCATTTCTTTCCAGTCCTGTCATATGTGTGACAGCATCAAAAGGGAGTACAGGAAACGAAATGGGATGAGGCCAGAGGAGAAACCCTGCTCTCTTCTCTAAATCAGACAGCAGTGATCACCTGGAGATCTCTTAGAACAGAGAGCCACCGGGAGGGAAGGCAACCGTCCAAATTGTTGGGGTGGGGAGAGGGGGGCGGGGGGGGGAGAGCCGGCCTTTTGTGGTAGCCGTGCACCAGGCGGCTTCCAAGGGTCAGTCTCTTCGAGGGCACTTTCCAGTCAAAGATGAGGTCAATATATGTCCGGGCAGCCCTCCCAGATGCCGCGGTCCTTGGCTTCCCAGTAGCCTCCCTTATAGATGTGGACCTGCTCCCCCGTGATCTGGTCTTCACAGCGGTCGAACCAAAGTGCCAGGTGGCTGTCATGAGGTGCGCCTGGAAAAAGAAGACAAAACAATGGTGTCACCAAAAAAGACAACAAGGTAGACAGGAGATTGGAACCGAATTAAAGCATGAGTTGTCGGTTGAATAGTGAAGGAGTACTTGCTTTTTAAGGACGGATCAGTTAGAGAGTCCTCATCGACAGCTTTTGGAAGAGAAAAGGGGATCACAGAGAATTTTTTTTACCACTTCATTTTATGATTTTTCCCCATGCATGGTAGAGGGCAACACTTTTCCACTGAAATGAGTTCCGTCTAGGGCTAGTTTGGTTTGCAGTTGGTTCAACTTGCGAAACACTTGAGAAGCAGTTCGCTTTTCCACCAACCACAGCCAGAGGAGCCATCACGTGAATAACCCTTAAATGAACAACAATGGTGGACAGCGGTAGAGCTGTGCTCATGTTGCTAAGAAGCTAGATCTACTTTTCTAACTATATACTCATCTGCAGAGCGACCTGGCTAATATTATGGCACTATGACTCAGCATTTACCGACCACTGGAGTGGTGTGCTGCTCATGCTTTACCGCTGAATTGCGACAGCATTAGTAATTCACTTTCTCGCCAGTAACGCAGCCTGATGCATATTTTGTTTTAATTGACAAAATATTGTAGCACAGCCTAGTTAATAAACAATGTGAAGTTTCTCTAGCTTCCCAAGCCAGTCGACTATACAATAACAAGATTGAGAGCCAGCATTAAATAATACTCGAATAATACTTGCCATGTTTAATGGACGAATGCATGTCACAAACTATGCAACTCCACGTTGAACATTAACCAGGCAGACAGATGGCATATTATTATTCACCATAAATGCTTTGAATGAGTAGTTACACTGAAATTGAACACAGGTTTTAATCAAAGTATGGTCAATAATTAATAATATGTAACACATATACCTGGGTAGTGTTGCGTTTTGTATATATATAATACGTTGTAGACTTCCTACTCTGGCTCCGCGTCTTATGCTCTTTGTTCTTGGACTCGCAGGGCAGATACTTCATGGGTTGAACCCGTTTTCAGGGTCAAGAGCTTGCTGCTGGTTTTAGTGAACACACGCTGGACTCTCACCTTCCTCTGGCTGGCTGGCGATGCGCTGGCTGGTGGCTTCCCTCTCTCTCTCCCGCCGCACGATGCGCTGCTTCTCCTCCAGCCGCTGCTTCTCCGAGTTGCCTTCGTCCCAGCGGCCTTCCTCCATCAGGCGCTGGTCGGGCCGGCGCCGGCTGTCGGTGGGCGATATGCCTTCCTCGTATTCATTTAGGGTCAGCGCCAAGGAGGTAAAGTAGTACATGGTATCTGCTCCCTCACTGTGGTACGATAAAGGAGAGATACACAGCAGTACTCAAATCAAAAGGCTCAATAGACCATGACATTCTGTTAAGTTATTATATATCTGCTGCTTATCTCTGCAAGACTACATTGTATTTTCTGGTTCTTTATCGCTGCCTGACTGTAATTATCTCTATGATTGATGAATTTCAGGCTCTAAATGAATTCTGATTCAGATTCGTTAACATGTTACTCAAGAAACAAAATATATGCTTAACAGGTCCGACATTGGATTCATCAAGATATTCTGATTTGGCTCCACTTCCTGTGTGACATGCAGGCTCATACGGCCCACCCATCTAAGTAATAACAACCAGAATTATCTTCGGTACGTCTTTGCTGTATCACTGCTTTACAGTTGGTTATATGAGAAGGATAGAGGTTCAGACACCTAACCCTGAGGGACTTACGGTAGAGGGTTCCTCCTCCAAACCTCTCTGGCTTTCAGAGTTTGATAGACCGTCTTCTGTTTGCCCTCGGTGCCGTTCTCTCCTCCGAGGCTGCTCTGCATCACCCGGGAAAACTCCATCTTCTCGTCCCACGTGCCCGACAGCACGTAGTGGGCCTTGCCGTCCTTGTCCATCACTACACCTGTCACCTGAAGAAAGGAGGAAAAGAGTGTTAAAAACATCAAATACAATCTGTCATAGGTCTATTTCTATGCATCTTCTTCTCACCTTTCTGGCCACATCTCTGGAGAAGTAACTGTAGGGAGCAAACTTCAGGTGGCAGCGGTCTCCTGTGGTGTGGTTCACCACGTCTATCTCTCCTGACTGGCAGAGAGAACAGGAAAGAACGATTTAAAGAAAGAAATAAGCTTTTTTTTCTTTTTAAACATCTATTGTCTCACGTTTCCACTTTCGGGTTGGCAGAATGACAATAAATACACTTTCTAAAGGGTTATATTTCAACACCAGTGGTTCCAAACCGGGGGTAGGTGGACCCCGAGCTGTACTTGAGGGGATTGCAGGGGGTATGTAGGAAGATTAGAGATTGCAATATTTCTACACAAAAACATATTTTAAATCTACTTTCTGGCACAGTTTATAGGTGGACTGTGTGATTTTACAGTTTATACAATTGTAAAATGTACATATGTCTCACCTGATCGATCCACAGCTTCCCCACGATGATGTTGTGCACTGTGGTGGTGACTTTCTTCCATGTGTAGTGATTGTTGCCCTTCTCAAAGATGGCGTGAATGGTGCCTGCGGGTGAGAGAAGGAATGCAGACGGTGGAGCCGAATATTCTTCAAGTGTCAAAACAAACCCTTCATTGTTATTGATATATATTTAGACATCTAGCTGTCTTTAAACACAGGTGTGACTGCGGAATTCTTTATGCTTTCTGCACGGATCTGTTATTAGGCTGTCATATGTGTCTTCATGGAAATAACTGCAGCATGGGATCACACCCTAAACCTACGTCAACATCAGACAAATATGTCCACAAACCGCACCGTCACTTACCTAAAGGCATAATGGAGAGGTATTTCCCCCTGAACTTGCTGGCAACGGTGATTTCCTGCCTCAGAGTCCATCCGCGATCTGAGATCACATGGTGCGCTGCCGCGGGGGGGTGGTGACTGACCTGAGAGAGAGGTTAAGAAGTGATGCATGGATTAGTTTATAAAAACAGAATAACTGGCCAACCTATCATCACCATGAAAAACCCTATTGTTACACCGCAGAGCATGAAAAATGTACTCTGTAAATGTCAAATATAATTATACTACTTATAGTACAAAAGGGTTTCATGATACACGCTACTTAATCATTTTTATTAAAAGCTTTAGTGACTTAATTAAACTTCTATTTATCTATGAATATAAAATCTCATGTCTTAATAAATCCTTCTCCACAGCAGCCGGATCTACTGCCTGAAAGCAACATTTATTGGATTCGTTTTTCTACTGGATTTATTTCTTGGGTTTTCAGAAAAGCCGGTCTAATTATCCAACACTAAGCCTGAATTCTGTGTTCTGCAATTCACAAATTAATTTCCCGCCTCGGCCTTTAACACCCTTTCCTTCTTCAGAGAAATTGCTTTTTCATGTATGTTAATGCATTGTATACAATCACTCCTCTGACCCTCATTCATGATAGACCTGCTCTCTTATTCCCAGTAAAGTAGATTTACTCAAACAATGCACTTAAGTACAATTTCTAGGTACTTTACCACTCGTTTTATTCTACTTTGTACTACTAGTCCACTACAGTGCAGAGGTAGATTGTGTACTTTTACTCCACTCCATTTATTTAACACCTTTAGCTACTTTGCAGATTTGGATTAATGATGTGAAATATAATCACCCTGCCGTTTAAATTCAAATGTGCCAGCTTTGAAAACACTCTCATGCGTGAGTAATTCTAATCAAAACATATCATATATATTATTCTGAAACGGACCAATCTGCATAATGAGTACTTTTGGTCATTTAAGTACATTTTGATTGCAGGACTTTTACTTGTATTAGTATTCCTACACTCTCTTCTTTTATTTAAGTTTAAGTACTTTTTTCACCTGTGTTTATTCCTGGTTAAAATAGTTGACAAATGCTTCCTCTCTGTGCATTCCTAAGTACATCAGAAAAAGGAAGTAAAACACTGAAAATGCTGAGCCAACAGGATCCTTCATGTCTTCCTTCGTGGCATTGCTGGATCTCACTTCCCTGCGTGTCTGCATGCTTGTCTGTCTCTCACCTGTTCGCAGAGGGAGCGGTAGCCGCTCTCTCTCCGGCGGTCCAGCTCGTACGTCTCTCCCAGCAGGGGGTTGAAGGGTTTGCCCGTGCGGTGGACGGTGGTGGAGTAGGAGGACACGGAGAAGGCGGCCACGTAGCACATCTGCTCCAGGGAACTCTGGCACTTGGAGGCCTTGTCCAGCAGCTCGTGGTACTCCAGGTCCTCCGACAGCCGCTGCAGCATGGAGATGGGCTCGTTGAAGTTTACCTGGAGAGCAGAATTACTCAGATGTGAATCATGTGTACAATCCTTATCATTTAAAGTGCCCATAAAATGATGTTTGAAATGTAAATGTATACTTTTAATGTCTTCCTAGGAGAAGGCCCACTCACAGATTGACACACATTTAAATACAGGGTATTCACTTATATGATATGACATACTGTACATTATATATGAGCCCTATCAATACGGGCTAATATGATGTTTTTTATTCTGATAACAGTATAGAAGCATCAGTATAAACAAGCGACATTGATAGGGATCCTTTTTTTAATTTCCTGTCAAATTAAATAATATAGTTTTTAGTAAGAATATACTATTTTGATAACGGGTAATAAGATTATGAGTATTGTATTATTGCCAATAATTAAATCAACATGTTCCACTGTTGTGTAGATGAACAGCAGTCATTGTTATTATGGATGTATAATAATAATAAGGACTGCTGTTAACAATGGTTATATGATTTTGGGGAGGCCAGGACTGTATGATAATATGTTCTATATTATTTGTAGTTCTTTTGTCCAGCTTACATTTTATTCATAACTCGATTATGTGCTTTTTACAGTTTGTTTCATTTGTTTCATTTGATTTTACAATGTTTGTCGCTCCATGTCGGATGTGTTCTTTGCATTCTGTTTTGGTTTCTCTTCACTGTGTGAAAGTTGTGTGTGTATTTACAAACCAAGCGCCTCAAATGTTGTTTTTGAAAGATGAAGAAACGTGCATGCTATGGCAGATCGTTTTTGATCTAAACGAAACAAGGGCCAACAAAAGAAAGCTAAGTAAAGACCGGAGATTGTTAATCGACAACACTTGATCGTCACTGGTCCCATTCATCTGTCAATAGAGCCATTTTAAACTTGGATGGCTCTGGCAGAATGTTGTCCAACAGGAACTGAAGACATGAAGACAATCGGTGTTTTTGGCATCACCTTAATGTTTTGGTGCCAGAAGTCAATCAGTCGCTTAAAATACACTTGATAGCTTGTTTGACTGAATGTATTCTTGCAACAAAGAATTGAAAAGAAAAGGTGGAGTCCTTTCTGGTCATCCCAACTGACATAATTCCTGTAAGTGACATCTGATCTGGATTAACCTGTTAAAAACACTCACAGGCATTGGGATTTTGGACAGCTCTTTGCCGATACAGTTCTTCATGATACTCCACAGATTGAGAGAATAGTTGGGTTTGTCTGCAATGCGTGTCCGCCGCTTCTTCAGCGGCACCAACTCCTGAGAGGGGGATTCCTGGTTCATCGCTAGAGGCTCCTCGTTGAGCTAAAATGCAAAAAATAGGTCAATAACAAGCATAAAAGTGTGTGGAAATAAGCGCTTTTAAAAGTGATTTACAAGCTTTTTTATTAAACATCTGTCTGATCTGATTTATTATGACTGTAGCACAATCAAAGCATTCATATTTGGAAATGTACCACCCCTAGTTCACTATGGTTTACCTTATAAACAGCGAACCATTCTTTTAACAGTCAACCCAGAGGTCAGAGTGAAACCTACCGATTGATCATCAGGACACATTTCACTGTTGAAACCGCTGATATTACTGCTTGACCTTCTGTAAAGAAATGCAAAAGGGTGAGGAGTATCTGTCAGTGTCTGGGAGCTTTCTGGTTTCAGCCACTTCAACATACAAGGAAATAGAGAGGGGATTACTTCAATTGATACAAATCGATCCAAATAAATCAACTGTTTCACAATTAAGGAAGTGCCTAAACAAAAACCCAAGTGACATACAAGGAACTGAGTTGAAATATAGACGTCTTAATAGATAAGACAAGGATTAGAGGAATTTGGAGTCACACAAGGTGATGTGTTTCCTTATGTGACTGCATGTGTGGGAAACAGGTCACACAAGATGATGTGTTTCCTTATGTGACAAACGGCATTTGTTACACACCCAACTCGTCAATTACAGCTTTGTACATGCTGCTATTTCTTCATAGCTGGCAGTTACCGAGAATACAGTTCCGAACAGGGAGAGGCATTTCTGTTTTAGTGTGAGAATGTTAAAAGACAGGAGCAAAAGCAAGCTGCTCACTCTGTCCAGTTTTGTTACGCAATAACGGCCGTGGGGGAGGGGTGTGCACTTACTTGTGAAAGTGGGGGTCTGCAGGGACAGTGATAAACTCAGGAGCCTCCTCCATGGCATCAAAGAACTCGTTGTCGTCGTCTTCGTCGCTCCCCTCACCTTTTCCCGGCCCAGAAGCACCTTAGAAAACAATCGAATCAGTGTGATATGACGTAGTGACTGATAACAATTCATAATTGACTAAACCCTAGTTTTTTAACACATGAATATAGTGGAAACAAAGCCTTATTGCTGATAACAATTGACAGTTCAATGTACAAAAGGTGTTTTGAGGGACATGCCGTTTAAAGCATTTAGAGATTTGAGAAAGAAATCAGTCAAATGAAGATAGAGGAGTTATAGCAGGAGTTTTCAGGTCACTTTTTGTGTAGTGTTCAGAGTCACGCCTTACTTTTATTGTCTGCAGTGGCATTAGACTGTGAAGCCCCTCTGAAGGCTCGCTCCAGGTGGTTGTGCTGCTTGGCCAGCTGCTCTAAAGTCTCCTCCAGTCTAACCCGCTGGTCCCGTTCTACCTGAAGGGCCTTCTGCAATCGCTTGCTGTGAGCCTGAGCCAACGCAAGGAAGTCTCGGCACGCCTGAGTGGGGACACATCAAACCGGGTTATTAAGGCCTTCAGAGTACAGGTTGCATGTAGTATAGATTTAAATAGCCCCGTTTTATTTACACATTATGTATGACAGACAAGGCAAAGAAACACGCAGACAAAGGAGGAAACGCCTACATTTATCATGGCATTAGAGGTGATACGGAACAGCGTGGCCCTCTCTGTCACCTGACGGACCTTATCCCCAGCTTCTCCGATAAGACGCAAACTGTCCAGTTCTGATAAAGACCTGAAATATATATCATAAGGCACAACAATATATAAGCGAATCACAGTGTAAATCACAATTATTTCCAGATTCAATGGTTTGAACTAGGCTTTGTTGCTGTTTTGTAAATAGTTCAACACCTTTATTTCGTGAGTTTATGCCAACGAAACAGCAAAATGAGGATACAAGGACAAAACTCGGGGTTATCATGCCAAACATTAGTATTGTGCGTGTATGTTTAATATGTTTTTGATTCCGTATTTCTAAGCTAAGATGACATGAGAAACTTTGGACTGAGGGAAGCAAAGGTAAAGCAAAAAAATAAGAACCAAAAAGTTGGTAAAGCCTGACCTCTGGAGAGCAGAGCCATGCTTTGAAATGAGGTCGTTGCAAGTGCTGAGATCCTCCACCTTGCTGCCTAGTGTTCGGAGAGCAGACTGCACTTCGGAATTCTGCGAACCGCCACCTTGTCCGGGTGCGGAGGGCGGGGATGACGAGGGAAAATCATCCCCTGAGTCATCTGTTAGAGATCAAAGCAACAGGAAGTTTCAAGGCTTTTATTGTCATGTGTGCATAGCTACAGTGTAGTTATGACAATGAAAATGTTATGTAGGAAGGAACCTTCAGCTGAAAGGGGAATTCATAGAGCCTTATCTGCCTATCTTGTTGCAGACAATCCGGTTTACAGTGCACTGAATAATATATTTGTTTCCCCCCATCTGCCTGTGTGTTTGTTTGTTTGTTTTACCTGACTCAGCCTGCATGCGGGCCGCCTTGGCTTTGGCCAGTTCCAGGGCAGTGATCCAGCGCTGGCGTTCCACTTCACAGCTGGCCTTCAGGTGATACGTCTGCGCTCCGCCATTGGAGATGACAAAGTTGCAGGCGTCATCCACGGTGATGGTTGCCGTCGCCAGGTTGATTGTGCCTCGACACGTGTGGCCCATCTCTGCCTGGGTCCTAATAATCAGAGATGTCCATTTTAAATATTGGGGTGGAAAAAATGATGTATGTACTGTTTGGAATAATTAAACTAGGCTTTCATCTGAAAGCATTTGGTAAAATAAGAGGAATATATATGGAGGATGTAAGATTGGTTGTACCCTTTGGATTGTACATATAGTAGAGTGTAATTAAACAGTAGTTACAGCAGATAAAGGTCAAGATGTTTATTTAGTGACCTGATAAAGACCTTATCTTTCCTCCTATGTTTCTGATTCACAGGAAAATGTACCTGTAGTAGGACAGCAGCCCATTACTCAGGACAAACCACCTCCGCTGATAACCCTTGATGTAATTTGTCCACTTGAACACCCATCCTTTGTATGTGTCGCCAGCAGGAGTGGGAACGGGGGTCTTCGGCTCCGACATCATAGCCCCCAAAATCAAGAGATGGATTTGAGGAACCTTTTAAAGAAAAATAAAAGTTCAAAATATTAACTTGACAAGGATTATGCTCCCCTGTAAGGCTGAAATGATTAAACAGTTAGTATGTCACCGAAGAATCAGCGATTGTTTTATTAATCATTTTACTCATCCTCAAAGGCTGAACTGCCACCTAGTCACGGCCTAAAGCTTCCTTAGTGAGCATATTTACTGTTGATCTTGGGCATTGTGAAGTTGCAATAGATTAGGAGGCCTAAAACATTATATGGGTGAATAATCAGCAGAAAAAAAACAATGAAATGTGGGTTAGTCAAAGCCTTAGTTCAGTACTAAACCACTTATAGCGTTGTACTAGACGATATGATTTAATACTGTTGGTTGATATTGATCTTTCAGTGTGGAGTGACAGGTCAAAGTTCAACAGTGGGGATCAAAAGACTAACTTCTAAAACAAGTTTCAAACAAAGCTATGTACATAAAAGAAAGAGTGAATGTGATTATAACAACTCAGTTTGATTATGTTTTCTAAAATGCCTATAAACTTAATATTATCAACTGTCACAGATACCATGACTTCAAAAACGATGCTTACATTTTCTTTTCAGGTATATGTGAAGGTGGTTCAATTATAACACAAGAAAACAAGATGATAACAGCATACATTGCATACAACTTTGACATATTGTTGAGCTTGACATTACAGCTAGTTAGCTCCAGAAAGGCTAGTGGGAGTCACCGTAATAACAGCTCATTGCAAGAAAGGGAGCTAAAGTAAATAATTTCGACATGTTTGCTCGAAGTTAACCATCTGACCAGTGCATATGTCATATACGGTAAACACATGCATGATACGTGGCAAAACAATCGTTAGCTTACGAGCTAGTTTTTAAACTCGCCGATTGCTAAGTGTTTACCTTGACGTGTCCGAAATGTGAGATCAGGCAACCAGACACCAAGTGAAGTCACAGCTAACTTTGACACCCATACGCTACTGTACCTAGCTAGCTGGAGAGGCTAACTAGCTAACCGACTGTCACGGGAAAGCAAATTATCAAGACAACTAAACACAAGACGTCGACGACAACAGCAGTGTGTTGATGAAATAAAGTGACACCAGCGAGTTTCGTTAGTGTCCCTCAACAATGTGGTGTATTGTGTTCATTCTACAGCTACGTACACCGACAAGAACCTAAAGCTAGCAAGCTACATCTAACTAGCCTAACGTTAGCTCGCTGGTTACACCCGGTGCAACACACAATTTGGTCTTGTCTAGAAACAGCTAGGCTACAATGTTGTCCCGATTGGCTGCAATCTGGACGGTAGACGGGACGAAAAAGGGCTTTTTGCCTTCAAAGTAATAGTACAGTGTGTCAGTATTTGCCACATAAAAACAAGTCATACTGTTAAGTGTTAATCTCTATCAAAGGCCATTTAAATACACGTTGTACTGTATATTTATATTAATCCGTAATGACATGGGTTTTCGTGTTTTGTTGATAGTGGATTATCACTATATTTATTAATAAATGAGTTAGTTAGATTACTATTATTTTACTCCTTTAATTGTGTTTAATTTTGAAATATACAATCGGAAACCAACTTGACTGTTTCGTGCGAAATTGACAAAAAGTTGAATATTAACTACTAACCAGCTAGCTTAGCTACGTTTATCACGGATGTATCATAGAGTTTAGTTTTAAAAGAATACCTCCGTGACGTTAACCTTAGCCACAAGTGTCAAATAAATTGACATTAAATAACAAGTTTACTAAACTATGTAGAACAGATAGTAGTATAGGTTATTGATGTTAACGTGGAGGTTGGTTGCCGGCTAACTAACGTTACCTTACCCTGAAAAATGTCAAAAATGTAACAGACTACACTGAAAAGTGTGAATCTGTGATTGTTATTAAATGAGGGCGAGTCCGATACCATGTGACAAATAAAGTGCTCAAACAAAAATTCGACTCCGGTGGGACTCGAACCCACAACCTTTGAATTACTACATTGCAACCTAGAAGTCCAATGCGCTATCCATTGCGCCACGGAGCCACCTGTTGCACATGATATCCATTGTAGTATTTCAATTCCCTTTGTGATAATATTGTATATTGGTATTTTTATATTAACACCGATGACATTTTACCACATCTCACCTTGAATTAGCAATATCTATTATTAAATGGACTTTATGAACCTGCAGTATTAAATGTTGACCACTAGGAGACGCTAGAAGACCGTGCAGAACAGGTTCCGCCGTGTGAAATGTTGACCACTAGGGGGCGCTCAAAGACCGTGCACAACCGATTCTGCAGTATAAGGCCAAATTCCAACCAAAGAAATCCAAACCGCCCTCGTCGCCTGTGAGTCGAGCTCATTCTTGGTAGCGACAGCCAATCACGTTCACGTCTGCTACCAAGATTCTACCAAGAATTGCCCCCGCAGCAACCAAGAATTGACCAATCAGCGTCTCCGTAGGCGGGCTATACTCTGCGGACGCCGCGAGCGAGAGATTCACTTTTTCCCAACATCACGAAAGTAAGTACATCATCCTTTAACTATGTTGTCAATGCTTATAAACTGTCATATTAATGTATAGATATATTTTAACTAAACAACATGTTGCACAGGGACATTTTACTAATGTCCCGTAACCGTTCCATGTATGTGATGTTTACCGGGAGCGGATTATTATGTACATCTATCGTCAATTTAATGTTGACATATCTGGCTAAATGACATGCCTGTTTATGACATTACCCAGTTTAAATTAAGGACTAACATAACTACGAGCTAGAGAGAATCTCGGAGCAAAACAAATCTTGCCCTTGACTGTAACCGGACACCTGTTTTTATTTCACCATTAATTTAAATACTAAACCTCACTTGTAAACAATGAAAGTCCGGGGGGGGGAACAGTGAAGGGAAGTTACAATGCAGTTAACACTTTTATTATGAAATACTTGTACTTGAGTAGGCAGGCCTGTTTCCATTGTAAGGTACTTTAATACACTATAATTGAGAGGAAATTATGAAATAGTTAGTATGAAGGTCGAGTTTTTCATACAAAATATAGGCTTTTTATACATTTCGATTGATTGATTACATTTAAATGCATAATCTGCATTTGTACTTGTTTTTATTCATCTTTAATTTGTATTGTATGTAGTCATCAGTTTTTCTTTGAATCAATATGTAATCTTTTACAGCTTGTTTATTAAATATTAAATATGTATTATAAATTAAATATTTCTCAGTTTTTTTTTAAATATGACTATTTTCTTATTCTCTTGATGGAACCACGCTTTCATCTGGCACTTCATGCGCAGATTTGCTGTGGGTTGCAGCACAGACTCCCAGCAGCTGTATGCCACTTTTATGAGTCGCCTCAACCACTGTATTTTCATGTGGGACCAGGACGACATGAAGGCCGCGAAGGATGTGCAGAGCTAGAAGCTGGAGGGAGACATCCATCCGCGGCTGATGTGCTTCGCTCTGTCAGCAGAAGTGAGCTAGCTCTGCATTGCCGGAGAATCACCCGCGGCACCAAGGAGACCCAGGCTCAGATTCATAGGCTCATCCAGGCCTTTGATGGAGATGCTGGTCGGGACTCTCTGGGAGTGCCACTCATCAACTCGGCCTGGATGAGTGAAATCATCAAGTCCCAGTGGAAGCATGTGGCCTGCATCTAGGATCCTCCAGGTGTGCAGCTCTACGCACAAACTGGCTCCAGTGTGAAGGGAGGGAACCGCCTGCCAACATACCGCATACTTCACTGGAGTCATTTCACCTGCACCTGAACCGGTTCATCCCAGGTAAATATGTGTTTCCCTTTTCTCATCCTATGGTTAGATTAATCACCATTTGGATTGGAATAAATAACAGCTGTGTTTTTATCTATACAAATGTTGAAATGATCTGAAATAAAAACATGATACATTTCAACATTTACTTTACAGGTACTCTGGCAAGTGACACCTTTTTCCAAGCCTATCTTTTGGATGGACTGGTACGCTGGAATGAGGACCGGGCTGTGACAGCAACAAGGGATGAGCAGCAGCATCCACACTGCTACAATCGTCTTCTTCGCCATGCTGTGAATACTCTGGCAGAGGAGGTTCTAAGCAAGAAGATCATCCCTTATGTTGGGCCACGAAAATACACTGGTAGATACATATTTGATTTGCTTGTAGTATACTAATAGCCTACCATTGTATCACTTGCATTATGTTTTCTGATTGATATGCAAATAACATATAATCTAAATACCAAGAGTAATTAGATTAATCCATCCATCCATCCATCTTCTCCCGCTTATCCGTGGTCGGGTCGCGGGGGTAGCAGTTCCAGCAGAGAGTCCCAAACTTTCTTTTCCCTGGCGACATCAACCAGCTCTGACTGGGGGATCCCAAGGCGCTCCCAGGCCAGCGAAGAGATATAATCCCTCCACCTGGTCCTAGGTCTACCCCTTGGTCTCTTCCCAGCTGGACGTGCCTGGAACACCTCCCTAGGGAGGCGCCCAGGTGGCATCCTAACTAGGTGCCCGAACCACCTCAACTGGCTCCTTTCGACGCGAAGGAGGAGCGGCTCAACTCCGAGTCCCTCCCTGATGACCGAACTTCTCACCTTATCCCTAAGGGAGACACCAGCCATCCTGCGGAGAAAACCCATCTCGGCCGCTTGTATCTGCGATCTCGTTCTTTCGGTCATGACCCATCCTTCATGACCATAGGTGAGGGTAGGAACGAAAATGGCCCGGTAGACAGAGAGCTTTGCCTTCTGGCTCAGCTCCCTTTTCGTCACAACGGTGCGGTAAAGCGACTGCAGTACCGCTCCCGCTGCTCCGATTCTCCGGCCCATCTCACGCTCCATTGTTCCCTCACTCGAGAACAAGACCCCGAGATACTTGAACTCCTTCACTTGGGGTAAGGACTCATTCCCTACTTGAAGTAGACAGTCCATCGGTTTCCTGCTGAGAACCATGGCCTCAGATTTGGAGGTGCTGATCCTCATCCCAGCCGCTTCACACTCGGTTGCGAACCGATCCAGTGAGTGCTGAAGGTCGCAGACCGATGAAGCCATTAGAACCACATCATCTGCAAAAAGCAGTGGTGCAATCCTTAGTCCACCGAACTGCAGACCCCCTCCCCCATGACTACGCCTCGAAATCCGATCCATGTATATTACAATGTACAATTATCCTCTCTGAAGAACCAGCACCTTACTGTGGTAGAGAGGTTTGTGTGCCCTGATGAACCTGGGGGCTATGTTGTCTGGAACCTTGTGTTCCTGGTAGGGTCTCCCATGGCAAATTGGTCTCAGGCAAGGGGCCAGACTAAGATTGGTTCAAAAGACCTCATGAAAGACAACACAAGAAGTGAGGATACCCGGCCCGGAGGAAGCCCGGGGTCCCCTTCTGGAGCCAGGCCCAGAAGGAGGACTCGTCGGCGAGCGTCTGGTGGCCGGGCTTGCCACGGAGCCCGGCCGGGCCCAGCCCGAAAAGGCAACGTGGGCAACACCTCCGCTTCTCCGTCCCGCGGGCCCACCACCTACGGGAAACAGCGATGGGGTCGGGTGCGCTGCCAGAAGGGTGGCAGTGAAAGCGGAGGGTCTCGACGGACCAGACCCGGGCGACAGAAGCTGGCTTTGGGGACGTGGAACGTCACCTCTCTGGGGGGGAAGGAGCCGGAGCTTGTGCGGGAGGTGGAGCGTTACCAGTTGGATCTGGTTGGGCTCACCTCTACGCACAGCGTCGGCTCTGGAACCTTACTTCTGGATAGGGGTTGGACTCTATTCTTCTCCGGAGTTGCTCAAGGTGTGAGGCGCCGGGCGGGTGTGGAGATACTCACAAGTCCCCGGTTATGTGCTTCGTTGTTGGAGTTTACCCCAGTGGACGAGAGGGTCACCTCCCTACGCCTGCGGGTTATGGGGGGGGAAACTCTGACTGTTGTGTGTGCTTATGCACCCAACAGCAGTTCAGAGTATACGGCCTTCTTGGAGACCCTGGAAAGAGTCCTGTATGGGGCTCCTGAAGGGGACTCTTTAATCTTGCTGGGAGACTTCAACGCACATGTGGGCAATGATGGAGACACTTGGAGGGGCGTGATTGGGAGGAACGGCCCCCCTGATCTGAACCGGAGTGGTGGTTTGTTACTGGACTTCTGTGCTAGTCATGGATTGGCCATAACAAACACCATGTTCGAACATAAGGATGCTCATAAGTGTACGTGGTACCAGAGCACCCTAGGCAGAAGGTCCATGATCGATTTTGTTATCGTATCATCGGACCTGAGGCCGTATGTTTTGGACACTCTGGTAAAGAGAGGGGCGGAGTTGTCAACTGATCACCATCTGGTGGTGAGTTGGGTCGAGTGGCGGGGGAAGCCTCTGGATAGACCTGGTAAGCCCAAACGTGTAGTTCGGGTGAACTGGGAACGTCTGGAGGAGGCCCAAGTTCAGGAGGCCTTCAACTCACACCTCCGGCGGAGCTTTTCGGGCATTCCTGTGGAGGTTGGGGACATTGAACCAGAGTGGTCGGTGTTCAAAGCCTCTATTACCGAAGCCGCGACGGGGAGCTGTGGTCTCAAGGTCCTAGGTGCCTCAAGGGGCGGTAACCCTCGAACCTCCTGGTGGACACCGGTGGTCAGGGAAGCCGTCCGACTGAAGAAGGAGGCCTTCAGGGATTTGTTATCCCGGGGGACTCCCGAGGCAGTTGCAAGGTACCGACAGGCCCGAAGGGCAGCAGCCTCATCCGTGGCCGAGGCAAAGCAGCGGGTGTGGGAGAAGTTCGGAGAAGACATGGAGAAGGACTTTCGGGCGGCACCAAAGTTGTTCTGGAAAACTGTCCGACACCTCAGGAGGGGGAAGCAGGGAACCATCCAAGCTGTGTACAGTAAGGATGGGACGTTGTTGACCTCAACTGATGGAGTGTTAGGGCGTTGGAAGGAACACTTTGAGGAACTCCTGAACCCGACAACTCCGCCCTCTATGTTAGAGGCAGAGCTGGAGTATGACGGGGGATCAACACCAATCTCCCGGGGGGAGGTCACTGAGGTCGTCAAACAACTCCACAGTGGCAAAGCCCCGGGGGTGGATGAGATCTGCCCGGAAATGCTGAAGGCTCTGGGTGTTGAGGGACTGTCATGGTTGACACGTCTCATCAACGTTGCGTGGAAGTCGGAAACAGTACCGAAGGAGTGGCAGACCGGGGTGGTGGTTCCCCTTTTTAAAAAGGGGGATCAGAGGGTGTGTGCCAATTACAGAGGCATCACACTACTCAGCCTCCCCGGGAAAGTTTACTCTAAGGTACTCGAAAGGAGGGTCAGGCCGATTGTCGAACCTCAGATTGAGGAGGAACAATGCGGATTCCGTCCTGGTCGTGGAACGACGGATCAGCTTTTTACTCTCGCAAGGATCCTGAAGGGGGCCTGGGAGTACGCTTATCCGGTCTACATGTGTTTTGTAGACTTGGAGAAGGCGTATGACCGAGTTCCCAGGGAGTTACTGTGGGAGGTGCTGCGGGAGTATGGGGTGAGGGGGTCTCTACTCAGGGCCATCCAATCTCTGTACTCCCAAAGCGAGAGCTGTGTCCGGGTCCTCGGCAGTAAGTCGGACCCATTTCCGGTGAGGGTTGGCCTCCTCCAGGGCTGCGCTTTGTCACCAATCCTGTTTGTAATTAGATTAAGTCATTTATATTTAAAATGATATTTTATATATATATTAGGGCTGTCAAACGATTAAAATCAGATTAATCACAGCTTAAAAATTTATTAATCATGATTAGTCACCATTCGAACTATGTCCAAAATATGCCATTTATTTATGCATATTGTTGTGGGAATGGAAAGATAAATGAAAGAAGGCGGATATATCCATTTAACATACAGTATCTATGTTTATTATAAAATTGTTCTGCGTGTCAAAATGAAAGACAACCCACACACCTATCAATCATCAAACCGTGGGGTCTTAATTCATTACGTGTTGATTTCTATCAACGGGGGAGTACTTCAGGAAAGTCGACAGAGGGGGGGGGGGGGCTAGTAGAGTACTTCGTGACCACAGAGTGTGAACGTTGTGATCAGCTGTTTTAGCGCAGTTCTCCAGTGAAGGGGGGGGAGTCTCCCTCGGTAGCCGGTTGGCGTAGTTTTGGCACAATTCCGTTGTACAGACCAACGTTAACAGCAGCCCTGTCTGTGCACACGGAGACCGACTCTGTCGTCCGGTGATCTAACCGCCTTCTGGAAAAGCTTCACAAGTACGTCGGTACGCAAATGCGCTTTGTGACACAAGTGACGGTACGCATTTCAGAGAGATTACGCACATAACCTGCGTACCAGTTATGTGCACCCCGGTACTACAGCAAAAGTATTCTCCGTCGGGACTTCCTGCAACAACACCACGCCGTTATCAAAGATGTTCTATTGAGAAGACGATCACTACGTGACAAAAGTTTTCAAAACCGTGGCTACTGAAATCAATCTTACTAACTGCTGTCTGTGCAATTTACTCCGCGAGTTGGCAGACTTTATTTTGCTTCCTTTAACATCATTTTTCATGGTGGGGCTAAGCCATTTCTTGGTATGGGTGTAGCCTACCCCAGCCATACCCTGGCGCTGCCACTGGTGGCACATATGGGGCGGGCCATTCTGCAAATGCGTTAAATATTTTAACGCAATTAATTCAAAAAATGAATTACCGCCGTTAACGCGATAATTTTGACAGCACTAATATATATATATATATATTTTATCTAATTGTATTTTTATTTGATTTTAAAGAGGAACTGATGGGAGTGGAGTACCTTTACCAGCAAACTGGTCAAGTTCTGCAGGACTACAAGCTGGCCATACAAAAGTCAGAGAGCAGCGAGGTGGCGATAAAGGTTCATGATGGTCATGCTGAACCTGAGGAGTTTCAGGACTTCACTGTCCCCACATTCCACCTTCAAAGGTTACCTGCTACCTCATCAAAAGCACTGTTCTCTGTATCTCCGTCTCCATCCAACAGCACCCTGTCCTCCCTGTCTGTGGTCCCTCCTTCGTCTTCCACCAGCACCCTGTCCTCCCTGTCTGTGGTCCCTCCTTCATCTTCCACCAGCACCCTGTCCTCCCTGTCTGTGGTCCCTCCTTCATCTTCCACCAGCACGCTGTCCTCACTGTCTGTGGTCCCTACATCAACAGTGTCACCTCCATCCACCAGCGCCCAGTCCTCACAACAATCCACCTCAGTCGATGTAAGGACCAATTTACCTTTCTTATGTTTATTCACATGCTTGTAACACAATCTGGGTTATGTCAGCTACAATATCGAGGGGTATGGAGCCGTCCAGGAGCTGGCAGAGTTTTTGTTTGGTCTCCGAGAACACCTACTGGCCTTAAGTGGAGACAAGTGCGCCAAAATAATCCCTCTGTGGCAGGCACTGGGGGATTTCGACAAGAGGAAGACCAGCTTTCCAACCCGTCACAAAAACACACTGAAGCAGGGGCGATTCAGGGCAACAAAAAAGATTGTAGCACCAGGTGTGGAGAGCACTAAAAGGATTGTTACATTTAAAAATGACTGAAACACTGTACTGTTTTCACCTTAATAAGTGTAGTCAAGGTTATTAAAGGATCCTTATTAACTTGAACACCACCTTTCCTTTCTTGGGTCCAAAACAAACATAAGAGACATACAGTAAGCAAGTGTGTGTGTCAGATGGAATAAAGCAGAACAACATGCTAATAATCCAGCCATGCAGTGGGGTGGTTTGTGAACTACCTCTCTGAAAGGTCCCAATGTGTTTCAGTTTGATGGGCTGTCTTCTGAGTGGTTAAACATCACTAATGGTGTACCACAAGGTTCAGTTTTAGGTCCGCTATTATTCTCTATTTATATTAATAGTTTAGGTGAAAATGTCGAAGGAGCAACCTTACATTTTTATGCGGACGATACCGTTATGTACTGTGCAGGTCCCTCGATTAACGAGGCTGTTGTTAAATTACAGGCTGTTTTTAACATTATTCAGGCTCAGCTCTCTGAGCTTAAGCTTCTTTTAAATGTGGATAAAACCAAAGTAATGCTCTTTTCTAAAGCTAAAGCTAAAAATACACCGGAGACTGCTTTGGATATTGTAACTACGCAAGGAATACAACTTGAAGTGGGTACCTGTTACAAATACTTGGGTATCTGGCTTGATGACTGTCTCACTTTTAAACTTCATGTCAATAACCTGCTTAAAAAGCTGAGGGTTAGGCTAGGTTTCTTTTACAGAAATAAGTCCTGTTTCTCGCTTGAGGCCAGGAAAAGGCTAGTCACTGTGACCTTTTTACCTGTGCTGGATTATGGTGATTTGTTATATATGAATGCACCTGCCAATTACCTGAGCAAGTTAGATGCTGCGTATCACAGTGCACTGAGATTTTTGACAAATTGTAAAGCACTTACGCATCACTGTACCCTGTATACCAAGGCGGTTTTGCCATCACTTACTGTACGGAGGCTCAGTCACTGGTACTTTTTCATTTACAAAGCCATGTTGGATAAACTACCATCTTATATCTGCTCCCTGATCTCTCTGCGAATTGAAAGTACTTATTGCCTGAGATCGCATGCTGTGGTTTTATTAAATGTGCCAAGTGCTAGGACAGTCTTAGGGAAGAAAGCTTTTAGATGTGCAGCTCCACTAACATGGAACAGTCTGCAAAAAGAATGGAAAATTACCAAGCTACACCACTACATGTTTTTAAAGCTCGGTTGGATGCTACAAAATCAGATGCTGTTGGTACCTGTACTGTACATGTGGTTAAATATGTAAATTGTAATCCCTGTACATTTTGCTGTATGATGTCCTTTTGTTGTTCTGTTGTTTATGTTTTTATGTCTTCTTGTGGAACCTACTGCTGCAGGTCTCCCTTGAAAAAGAGATCATTGATCTCAATGGGATTTTACCTGGATAAATAAAGATTTGAATTGAATTGAAACACTTTCTGGGTTTCCCCCATAACTTTAGGGAAGTAAAATTACAGAAAAGTACAAATACATCTCAATCTTTAGTAATTCATAATAATAAGTATTCTGTTGGATTTACAGGTGCTTCATTGGGGCTCACAGTCCTGCACAGTGGCCAAACTGCAACAGAGTGGTGGAGGCCATCTTCACAAGGCTCTGTGACCTCTACAAAAACACTGCGCTGCGAGGGAGTGAGGGTCTCACGGTTCAAAATGGTGATACGTGCTTATAAGCACATCCGAGAGTGCGTGATCACCAACGCCAAGGTGATGACTGAGACCCATCCAGCTCCCAGAAGTGAATGTTGCAACTGTCACACAATGGTGAGTAAATAAGCATACTACATATACTGCAAAACATGTATACTTACTCTTTAATACTTACCCAATAAAATGATTTACTGTTCAAAATAATCCCAACTTTTTTTCATTACAAATATTCCCTTTTGTTCATTAATATTGATTGTTTCATGTTTCCACAGGTTCAGCAGGCGTTGCAGGTCTCAGGAACAGCAGATCCTGAAGCAGGGTATCCCCGCTCCTGACGCAGGAGCTGAGAAGCTTCTTGTGGCAATGCAGAAAGGGACATCTCTGTTTCGTGGCAGTTTGGCTGAGCCTCACACCTTTGTTCTGCCACCAAACACTGCTGGTGAGGCAAAGCTCCAGAAGAGATCACAACCAGTGGCCATCTCACAGGTCCCACCACCACCTCCATACTATCCTCTTCCCTTCAGTGGCGTAATAAGGTTGTGATTGGCCCCGGTGCAAATATTGTTTTGGGCCCATCGCCCCAAACATAAGCGCACGCTGATGCGCTCACACACGCACGGACATACACAACCACTCAGAAGCGCCACATGTATAGGCTATCAACAACAGCCTGCCCTGGCCTCAAACCACCACAGCCTGACAACGGCACAGCGAACTAAGAAGAGGATTAAACCTGTTTCCTTGATGTTTGTCTCTGGGGAATGGGCCGGTAGGCCTACATAGACCGGTAGCTTTTGATCTTGGCGTCGGGGGTCTCAATAGCGCCATAGAGTCCCCTATTGGTTGGGGCCCTTGGGGGAACTGTTGGACCAGCCTCTCCTCCTGGCTGGCTGGAGAAGAAGGTTGCACAGCGACGGATACAGCTTCACTTGTGGAGCTACATGGCAATGATGGTGGTGAGGCAGGTGAGCTATCGTTAGCCTCCGGCTGCCGCTGCACGTCAACATTGCTAACGTTAGCGCTCGATTTCGAGGACGATGTATGACAAAAAAAACGGTCTAATTTTGTCAGTTTAGCTGTTACATCTCCTTGTTCTCTCTTGTCCTTTCTCTTTTGAGCACTGCTCTTGTTCTTTGGTTTGCTGTACATTATAAATGCAAGCTATTACTTTTTTTATAATGCTACCGAACTTGCTGCTGCTAGCTACAGTACAGTACAGGTTGATTAAACGGTTCACATGACATGAAAGGGAGCAAGGTCATTGGACAGACAAATTACAAATTAATTTAGGTTGCTTGGTTGCTTTGAAGACTGCGTGAACCAATCAATGCCATTGGGGCCCAAAAAATAAAAATAAATGTAAAACTTTTTTTTTGAATGGGCCCCTGGCTGGCTCTGGGCCCCGGTGCGTTGCACCGGCTGCACCAGCTATAGTTACGCCACTGCTTCCCTTCCTTGCACCGACTCCACCCTTCTCAATACCATACATGGTACCATCTGTGCAGCTTCCTCAAGTGCCTGGACCCTCACAGGTTGTGCCTGGAAGCTCTCAGATGATGCTTCTCAACATGCCATTGCCATCAGCTATGCCATCAGCTACTCAGGCACTAACATCCAGTCAGAGTAACGTGCCGTACACCACACAGCAGTACAGGAAAGGAAAAGAGGAGAGGGAGCAATCTGGATCAGGCAAAAGAAAGTATGTCAAAAAGACAGACGCCATCATTTGTAAAAAGTGCAACAAAGACAGGAAGCCACCAGCCCATTTACAGTACTTTGGCAATTGGTACTGTCAAGAATCCGAGACCCAGTCCTATGAGGAATGGAGGGCTGTGCTGGATCAAAGAGGGTATGGGGGAAAAAAGAGAGGGGATGCACCTTAAATGGCCAAATGTTGTGAGCAGGTGGGTCATTTCGTTATTTATTTGACACTTTATTTCTTTACATTTGATGGCACTGTTTAATTAGTTATGTTATATATGGTACACTTTTATTATTATTATTATTATTATTATTATTGTTTATATTGTTATTACAATGTTGTTGTGACCTCATAACACATATAAAACTGTTGTGGATGTGTCTGTGTTTTTAACTTCTTTTAAATATTTGTTTGCAACTTTTTCACTTTAATATATTTTTCACTTTGTTATATTTTGCACTGTTTGTTGCACTGTTGGTCTTGTTATTAGTATTTATTTTACACTTTACTATACATATTGTAAGAATTGTTGTTATTATTACTGTTGTTTTAAATATATAAATAAATATAAAACAAGTATGGATGTTTCTGTTTTGAATATTTCATCATCATATTTCACTTTCATTATTGTTATATTTACTTAATACTTTGTTCTTAAGTTTGAATACATTTATTAAAAGTTGTAATTATAATAATAAATGCACAAAATAACAATAATCCTCATATTTGTCATATTATTTATATTCTAAGTACTATTCTATATTAAGTACATCTATAGAAGTACTGTACAATGATGTACTTCCTTGGATGCTCCTTAATACTTCACTACATTTCAGAGGCAACGATTTGACTCTTAACCTCATTGATTTGATAACATGAGTTACTTTGAAGATTTAGATTATGTTACAAAGTACAATAATATAAACAGACAATGAATCACGAATGATTATGGTGAAGAACTGAAATGATCGATTGATTTTATTCACAACCTACCCAAAAGTATGGTAAAATAATAAATAAGCTCCACCTTTACATTTATGCATGTTCTGACATACAAGGAATTGAGCGGGATTCGAAACCAGCTCGTAAGGTGTATTTCGGCTATTTCACGGTTATCAAACATAGACTAACGCGCTATGTCCTCAAACCGGCCCTACACCTGTGAGTCGAGCTCATTATTGGTAGTTAAATGATCCATTGATTTGTATTCACAACCTACCCAAAAGTATGGTAAAATAATAAATAAGCTCCACCTTTACATGTTCTGATATACAAGGGATTGAGTGGGATTCGAAACCGCGCTAGCAGGGCGTATTTCGGCTACTTGATGGTTATCAATGCGCTAAATCTCATTCTTGGTAGTGATAGCGAATCACGTTCCTGTATGCTACCAAGATTCTACCAATAATTGACAGCTATAGCCAATCAGCGCTCGTATCGCTACAAAGAATTGGCCGGTCTGCAACCACGAATTGACCAATCAGCGTCTCTGTATACCTGGCGACTCAGCGGTTACCGGCGAACGAGAAAATCACTTCTTCCCAGCAACATCACGGAAGTAAGTACATCATTTATACATGTTGTTGTAAAAGTGTCTTATTAATTGGTAAGTAAAGAACATGTTGCTCAGTGACATTTTACATTTGACTAGTGAACCGGACCTGTTCCATGAAGGTAGCCTATGTTGTTATAGGCTAGTTGGTTTTCAGATAGCGGATGTGCTGTGAATTTAACATTGACATATCTGGCTAAATAACCTGCCTGTTTTGTTTATGACATGACCATGACCAAGCTAATGTTTAGGACTAACATAACTAGGTTCGAGGTTTCCTTTTCTTTTTACCTTCTGGCGTCCTCTGTCTTCAGTGGCCAAAACAAAGTATCGCCCTTGACTGTAACCTGACACCTGTTTGTATTTTACATTAATGTAAATACTAAACCTCACTTCCAGTGGCGGGGGGCGTGATGGGGGGCCTAATAATGTAATTAGAGGGGCACATGTAATACAGGAAGAAGGAGATTTAAAAAACGTTTAGTTTAGTAGCCTATAAAGCAGGGGTGGGGAACCTCCGGACTAGGAAGAGAACAGAGAAACATATTCTTCATGACCAAAGTTGGAATTGAAATAAAAAAGGAAAGTGAAAATTATGCTCGTCACCCTCTCCCTCCGGTCCACATTAATACAAATGATCCCAATACGTATGATTGTATGAACTATGAAAAGATCTTAAAATCAATACAAATGTATTTATTATAAACGTTAGTCCTTAACACCTATCACTGTGTATATCACCATTCAAACATCTTTTAAAAGTTGAACAAACCCCACAGCTCAGTGAAATGTTGACTTTATTTGATCATTTCAGTAAAAACTAACGTTCATATTTCTCTTTTTAATTATAATACTGATGAACGTTCAAAACAAAGCACTTTGGCAACTTACCACATACGTTTTAAAATGCTTAATAAGCACCGTAACTTTCATGATATAATTTCTCCGTCATAATCGTTTGTGTCCGTGAACGGCCCGACTGTTGTGTGACGTCAAATGCTGCGGTTGCAAGGCATTGTGGGGCAGCATTTTCTCCTCTCCTTTTGGTTATGGAGGTCCAGTGGTTCCTAAGCTAAAGGAGGTTATAAAGGAAGTTTGAAACCTCCTTTCCTTTTATTTAGAGAATTCGAACGGCACCTATCATGGCTGCCACTGAGAGACTTCCGGGTAATTTCACTCCGTTAGGAAGGTTCCTAAGCTAAATGGACTATTCGACTGCAGCAGAGCCCTAGAGAGATAAGAGTTATGACACTCTTTGATGTCGCCGCCAGCCGGTCACGTGGTTTATGTATGCCGGGATAGTTCCAAACGCACTTCCGTGGCAATGCTTCTCTATGGCAAAAACAGCACAAACATGGTCAAAATAGTCATAGATTAAACCAACGCTGTTATTTTTTAAAGATTGCTTTCATATTTACATGATGTGGTTACACTTTGTATGGATTGGCACTATTTACAAGTTTCGTTATTTAACGATATTTTGAGGGGAAAGTGTGGTAGCACAAGCAGGCTATGTTGCTGTCACTGCCAGGGCAGTCACGTCCGTAGTATAGTTGCGCTGCGCTGCGCTGTCATGTTCTTCTATGGGACAGACAGACAGCAGCGATTGCGTTATTGAATGATAATAAATATATATAAAAAAAACACACACACCCAAGTACTTTTTCAGCTGTAATTGCATTATTGCATACTTTTTATTGACAGTTTTGCATTTGGAGAGGCAGGGTGACAACGGAAAGCTTGGTAGCCAATTACTTAGATACGTTTTACATTTTTGGAGGCAAACGCTTGTGTTCATGTTAGCATGGGTAGCATGATCATGTTAAGACTATGAATATCATTTTACCACAACAGTGGATGAACAATTGATATATGTGTTTGAACAAGAACAACAGGAAGAACAAAGTAAAAGGGACGAACAAATGTGTGAACAAGTATTAAGAACAGTGTATGGAAAAAGTGATGTGTGTTAGAACAAAGTAAAATGAATGAGAAGGAGAACAAAGAGGGTTAGGGTTAAACAGAAAAAGTCAACAGAGCAACAAAAACAGGTTTGTCAACAATACAAATAAAAATGATGAGGCCACTTTGCCAGGGGGAGGTGATTTGTAAAATATCCATAAAGAAAAAATAAAATCAGTTCTGTTTCATATGGATGTTATGAATGCTGCCCTCAAAGTGCACCAGATTGATGCTTTTAACTTCAACATTTAAAACAAATCTTCCCCCACTTAAATCATGTTCACAATGGATAGGAAACTACATTTGCGAATATCTTGTGTCCATATCTTTCTGTTTGGGTGGTCATGCCACACCGTGCACGTGCATGCATGCGTGAGTCATGGCAACATATCTGGATTAAGAGGTTGCTTTTTCTGTGCACAATGTGACCGGACTTCACGTCTCCTCCCTCTGTGACGCTGCTTGGCACCATGTCAGCGCACCTGCTATTTTGCGCACCTGCTATTTAAGTGGAGGAGACAAATCTGCTCCCCCCCCCTCCGCTTCTCCTTTGTGGCCGCGTGGATTGTTTGGCGTGGCGTCTCGCGCATCACACTCTCTACCAGACAGCTGACGCCCGGTGCGTTTGAGGAGGATTGGCTCCTCCGGAGGTTCCCGGTCTTGCAGTGTTGCAACTAGTGATGGTGAGATGAAGCCTTATGAAGCTTTGAAGCTTTCCAGCCAATTGGTTCGCAAAAGGGTTCATCTCATGAGGCTTCATCATGGGCTTCATTTGAACA